CATGGCAAAAACATCTAGGAAGAGCAACTCATGTACTTTCTAAAGGCACCTTGCTTGCTCTCCCTCAGGCTCTGACTGCAGAGATAAAAATGGGAAAAGGAAATCACTTCAAATTTCGGAATTTTAAGGCAAGCTTGTTAAAAATTCCAAAACTGCGCCATAAAATCCAAGACAGCCAGTCTTTTTGACCCCATTTTTTTTTCTAGCTGAGCATTTTTGGATGATCGAACTATTCTTTGATAAGTTATGATTTTTGTGAAAAAATGGCAAGAAATCAATTTTCGTAAAAAACCGATTTTGGCATTTTTTCTCAAAAATCACAACTTTTAAGAAGAACTCGATCAGCGCGAATTTTGCTCTGCTAGAAAGAGGCGACCGGAAAACCTAACTTACTGTCTCCTTTGGATTTTATTGCACAGATTTGGAATTTCTAACGAGCTTGCCTCAAAAATCCGAAATTAAACTAATTTCCTTTTCACAATATCTATGCAGTCAGAGCATGGGAGAGCGACAGCAAAGTGTCATTAGAAAGCACACGAGCTGCTCTTCCTAGCTATATTTTTGCCATGCAAGACAATCTTGACAGGAAGAATCTACGTTTTTTGAAAATCGTGCGCAATAACTTTCGGTTCAACCTGATATATTGGGTCGTCCCGAAAGTTCTTGTGCACGATCTTCAAAAATTCATAGCTTCTGATTTTTCTAACCGAATTGACTGCTTTTATTTTTGTATGAAAGGGTAAATCATGCTCTTTATAATGACCTCTTAGAGAGCTTACTATATTGTTCATCTGTCGCAGAGATAGGAGCGATAGAAGAAAAGTAGTCAAAATTCGAATTTTCTGTGTAGGATCATAAAATCGGAATTTGCAACAAAAATCGGAGCAGTCCGTATTGTAGGTTCTTTCACCTGCTCTTTCTAACAGTCAAAGTTTGAACCGATTGAGCGTCTCTATGAAAAGTTACGATTTTCCTAAAAAAAATCAAATTCGCCCTTTTGTATTGCTTGCTCAGGAATAATAACTTTACATAGAGACGTTCATTTAACGCAGACTTTTCACAGTTAGAAAAGAGCAGGTGAAAAAACCTACAATTCGACTGTTCCGATTTCTGTTGCAAGTTTCCGATTTTTTATGACCTTACCCAGAAAACTCAAATTTTGACCAATTTTCTTCTATCGCTCCTATCTCTGTGAAAGATGATGAATAGTAAGCATAGAGGTCATTATACAGAGCATTATTTACCCTTTTATACAAAAATAAAAGCAGTCAAATCGGTAGAAAAATCAGAACTTATGATTTTTTGAATATCGTGCGCAACTTTCGGGACGACCTAATAATAGATGTAGCCGCATCGTTTCACAATGTTGGCATTTTGAATAGGCGACCACAGACTCGCCAGGATTCTTTTTTCATTTGTTATAATATACATTTGTGCCCTATAAAGATCCTTTGTGATTGCCAGACGCAGGTTTCGTACAATCTAAGACACTAAAGCCTGGCTGCAGTTTCCGAGAACAACATTTGGTTCCATCCTTATCTAAAAACTTGAAAGACAGCATCACTCTTCCAGATATTCTCTCACGATTGTATATGTAGACAGCGGAGTCCTCTAGCGTTAGAGCCCTTTTGTACGTCATTTTTGCTTGGTGAAATGAGCACGAATTTCTTAGTGTTTCTAAGGTCTTTTTAGTGTAGAACTGGTTGAAGAAAGTCCAATAAATCAAATATCTCTGTACTCCATACGGGAGCCACAGATAACGTAGTCTCTTTGTTTGACAGCGTTTTATCACAGTAGGTGATAAGCTCATAACTTGTTGCAACTTGAGACCCTGCGCTTTTTCAAGCAAACATCACATCTCCACATTTATTTCCTTAAAGTTATCCAAATCCCACTAAATGAACGAGTGCAGCTAATTGCATTTGTTTGGATTATCAATCTCCAACTTGCTGCTTCTTATCTTCATTTTTTCTCTTCCACCTAAGCTATATTTTTCTAGTTCACTTTGGACAATGTTTAGACTATTGCAACATACTGCCATCATTTATTATCATTGAAAGAGAAGAGAAGCGATAGTTTGAGCTCGGATAGAAGCTTCTTGAAAATGAGCTGATAACCGAGCGCCAATTCAGAGTTCATTTTTTGTACCAAATTGAGTTCAGAGACGTCGAGAAACACCAAGGAGAATCCTTCAATAAAATTCGATTCGTTATTTTTCACTTCAACCTAATCCGGAGATATTATTTTAAATCTTCAATATATTTTATAGTTTAGTTGTCACTAGTTGTTTCTTCTTGTCCATCGAAGTAGAGTCTTAGCGAATATTTAGCAGCAGAGGGAAAATGATTTGAAAAATGTTGTTTTAGCTATCGGTAGTGATGCGGCGTTATATGGAAAGGCACGCGCGGATGTGAAATTAGCTTTTGCTCTATTAATAGTCTAGTATCAAAACAACTATGCATTTATTAAAACTCTTTGGCCTTTTAGATGTCTTGCAGGGGCATCCATAGGTAGTGGGCCATGCTTCAAAGCTATCAGTTTAGTCAGCTTAGTTGCCTGTTTGCGCTGATACAAATCGTGAAGCCAAATCTAAACTCAATAGTGAAGGTATCAAGTCCTTTGGAAAAAAATGACGCAAAATATAGCGTACATGGCATATCAACCGCACAGCGTTTCAACATGATTGTTTGTCAGTCTAACAATAATGTATCAAAACTTGATAGCTCCAAACAGTTGTTAGAAGCTCTTGATACACTACTCAAGAGGAAGATCTCGATGACAGCAGTAGATGCATTACACCAACATTCGCCACTGCATTGGCACCGACGGAACTCACTGTTTCCAGAAAACAAGTTGCCACAACAATATGGGACTGTGCTTGACCCGAATATTTTTTGAAAAGGCTTGTCTTGATATTGGAAAGTGATCCTTCTTCGTGCATGAGGTTTGCCTCAATTCAACGAGGACTGACTATTTTTATTTCCATTCTTTTTCGATCCCCTCAACGGGTTCTATTCATTGGCTGAGCGAGCGAAAAACTGTTATTTCTTCAATTTTTGTAAAGGTCTAACTACTCTACAAACAATAAATTCATGTTGGGCAGAAAGCCATATCGTCTTATATCAAAAGCCTGGAGTATATCCGAAGCCTTTCACGCAGAATTATAAGTATTGGCATCGCTGTTCTCGCTAAAGTAATGACTTAGTTATTTTGTGAGTGGATCCCTTGAATGCAACATGACCTCGTACTGTAGATATCAGTGATTGAGAGAGATCTATCGTATGCGAACATCTATCACATCGGATTGCTGCACACAGCGTCTAACCACTGTCTTGTGTATCTAGTATCAATTCCCTTCCTGTAAAAAAACGCATTTTCATGTGGGTGACAAAACAAACATCATTTACCGTCGGATTAATTGCTCTTTCTTCACCCTTCGTTTAATGCCTTCAAAATTTTCAAGACAGAATTTTGGGCTGGTGGAAAATTTCTCGAAAAGGCTATCGACTACCAACACCACGGACTGATTCCTAAGAATGAGTCGTGATTTTGTAGTGGCCTCCATGAGTTATAAAGCTATAATGGTTGTTTATACTCCTAAACCATGATGTTCTTTCAACAAATCCATGGAAGATTATATTAGCTCAAAGATTTTCGCGGCGTCCAATTTTGAGCCATTTAGAAAAATTATCGATAGGTGCCGCTGCGCATCTCGTTTTATCCCGATTGATTTGCGACTCTCCTGATATGCCTCGCATCTCAGGAGAGTCGCAAATCCTCCTTTGATTATGTATTAGGTCGGTGCAAAAGTTTTGTCAGTTTTTTCAATCCATCGGCAAACACGCTAGAATGAAGATAAACAAACTCTTCAAAATGCGTCCGATGCAAAATTTCTTCCTCTTTCCAAATGTGAAAATCCTATTGTGTTTCGTTGCGACAATGATGAGATAGTATCTGCTGGAAATTACCACTCGTTTTTACAATGCCTAAATTTTACTAATTTTCAAAATTTTTTAATGAGACTTTCGGTGGAGCCCTAATAACCATCAGATAGGGCAAACCTTTTGCCAACTTATGCAATTTTTTCTTTTTTTCAGCTGCTCTTTCAGATTTTCGCTAAATTATTTTCTAAAAGTCTTGTTGGAAAAATCGCATAACCTATTATTGCACCAAACACTGCAAAACCTACAAAATGCTGAGGTTTCGACACTCGATTATTTACCGCTAACATTACAAGGTAGATGAGCGATTTTCGCTTCAAATTATGAAGATTTCGAAACATAGGTTACGCCTGTGCGCACTCCTGCAACTGAGAAATGCTGCAACTTTCCCCACAAATTTCGCCTGTCTCGGCAAAAAAAAGACAAGTGTTAGAAGGAGGAGAGAAAAGTTGCTTAGAATGGTGACTGAAATGTTTGATATTTTATGTTCTACGAGGTTAAAATAGGCTGAATGTGAAATTTGATTACTTCAAAAAGTAAATGGTAGGAATTCTGAAAGACAAGCCATAGGGCTACAAAAAATTGCTTCCGTTGGCAAAAGGTTTGCCCTTTCTGGTGGTTATTAGGGCTCCTCCGTACGTCTCATCCAAAATTTTGAAAAATAGTGAAAGTTGGACGTGGTAAAAACGAGTGGTTGTAATTTCCAGCAGATACTATCTCATCATTGTCGCAACGAAACACAATAGGATTTCCACATTTGGAAAGAGGAAGAAATTTTGCATCGGATGCATTTTGAAGAGTTTGTTTATCTTCATTCTAGCGTGTTTGCCGATGGATTGAAAAAACTGACAAAACTTTTGCACCAACCTAATATTAAAATTTTGATAGAAAATGTCTTCTCCTTGGAGAGGGTATAAGATGCTTTGAAGACGGGTATAACCGCAAGTGCGTATAAATCTTTTTTTTTGCAAAAGTCGAGAGCGCTGAGTTGTGCCTTTTTGACAAAAGCCTTCAATTATTTAGACTGATTACAGTTCCAGTATCTGCTTCCAAAAAGAAATGAAGATAACCGTAGAAGGCATCGATCACCAGTTATCTCCAGACTTAGAAAAAGAGGTAACTGGACATGGTTATTGCATATTAAGATTCCCAACAATTGCAGTACGGAGGAGCATTCAAAGCAGCATGCGAGGCTATGACCAAAACTCTCGAGATCGTTCGCTCTCCTGGTGACATCGTCAACCAAAGTGGCTTTCAATAAATTTTGAACTTAAGGATACTCCGATCGCAGTTCATGGAAAGCGGATTGCAGCAGTGAGCGCGTCTCGATTCACTATAAAGACATTGACGGACTGCGATACTTTGCAGCAAAGGTCAGCTTAATTTTCCTTCATTTCTCATTTGTTCAAATCGGCATTAATGAACACTCAGTTTTGCCTGGAGATTTGACATATTTTTGAGTGCACTTGACCTTTACACTTAAGCGTGAGATTATACATAACGAATCAGCGTCATTTGTTTTCTCTTCTTTCAGTAATTCATCTAGTTCAATTCGAATAAGATTCATGTAGATAGATGTCAGCGAGGAAATAGATGTCAGAGATGTAGATGTCAGCGAGGAAATAGAGAAAGTATGACAGATTCTATATAGAATTTCATAGACTGAAATCTTATAGATAGGTCCTCCTACAGATAGGTCCGCCGGGAAGTTGGTCATCAATTTGAGTACGTATAGTTTCACAAAACTACAAGCACGGCTTGCTGTGCATTGTCTGAAAGTGAATAAAAATCTGTTCCAAATAATCTATTGAAAAGTCGATACAACTTCAATGTAATGGCAGGGAAAACAACACTAACGCGCCAAGGGAGGGGGAGGGGGTTGAAACAAAATCAAAACTTTTGATTAATTTCGACTACCTTAGAATTCATACCATTACAAAGAGCCTAAAGCGCTGATTTTGAAACGCTTTTGGGAAGAAAGTCATGGGAGTTTTATCATCGAATTTTGCATTGTTTTGAGTGACTACAAATAATAGAAACCGTTCATATTGCTTCTTGCGGTATACAAGATACCAGTCAAAAAGGGTGAGCATCATTTTACTCGTGGGCTGCTCCAAACAGGTTTGAGTCCAAAATGCTCGGATGTTGATAATTCTGGTCACTCTCAGCCTTGCAAATGTTCCAGTTTACGCTTACGTCAATGCATGTTGATCTATAGGAAGTGTGACGGAGTCTGTAAAATTCAAAATGTCAAACAAAACAGCATGGCTAACATTGTTTATACTGGACACAGTCTAAGATTTAGTAGACGTTATAGTTTTCACTTTGGTTCTGCGATGCTTCGCTGTAGATGTACGCATGATAATGACTTGAGATTACATATCTTAATATGATATTCTGTCAACAAAAAAACTGGAAGAACAAATGTCAGCAATAACCAAAAGACTACAATTTTTTTTGTCCTGTGTACAAATTCTACTGCTCCAATGAAAGGATTAGGGGAGAGGTTGGCTTATCAGAGTACCAAAATCCGCGTTCCAGGCCAAACTAGCAGTCAACGCGTCAGTTGTTTTTCAAGAACACTGCGATAATATCGAAAATGTGAAAGATTTCAACGACAACATGAGATTTAGCAGAGTCTTGAAGAAGCTTACTAGGAACATCGACGTGGCCAATGTAAGCGATGTTTATTCTGTTTACATTGCTCACTAAATGCATAATATGATAAATTTGACGTCTAAATTAGTGTCGCTACGTTGTCAACAACACTCTCGCGTGAGCAAAACATAGAAGTGCACAGTGCACATCTGTTTTCCGCGCAAGTGTTGTCGGCACCGCAGGAGCGTTATGTTAGTCGTCAAGTCACTACAGCATATCGTCGCCTTCAGTATGCATCTAACGAAAAGTTCATGGTGAAAAGTCGCGAGTTCGTCGTCGGTAGGATGCAAATGCAACTCGGCAATGCTTTCGTGCTCGCTGCCAGATCATGTGATCTAAATGGATTCCAAGGCTGTAAAGATACTGTCAGGTGAGCATTTTTCTTGTTTTCTTGTTTATGGAAATTACACTATTTTTGAAGTTTCTGCTTTGTGACGTTCAAAAAAACTACATTCACAAAAGTAAAGCATTTCTAACGCTGATGAATACACCTCGAGGTTCGTTGAGCAAAATGATTCACAACACAAATTATTGCAAAAGTATGTCCCTGAGGGTAATGTGGTACTGGCCGCAAATCCCACTTATGCGTAAAAATCGACCGTAGCTCATCACTGTCAATCACTCAGACTTTAATGAATCTCAACTCTATTAAATTCAGGCCTGAGCTTTTTGGAACTTTTCAAAGTAAACAAAAAGCTAACGCATATTAGCAAACACTCGAAATAATGTTTTACATTACCAGTTTTTACTTTTGAGTGAGTGCAATGACTCATTGGACAATGCAAGGGCCCTAAACTACCTTCGAAATTTACTGGCAATATTTGCAGACTTTTGATAGTTTCTGCTGCGCTTGAAATTTATCTGGTTGTCACGAAAAGATGACTTACTGAATGCCTTCGGAATATCAAGGTTCTTTCCCTTTTGCAATGACTCATTCATGCTAGAGACCCACCTCCATACGTTCGCTCTTTATGAACCTTGGATACGATTATAGACATTACTTACCTCACTTATTTCTCTATAGTTTCTGATCGCACTTTAAACTGGAAAAGCTTTGAACAGAGTACGAAACTCCAACAAACACCTAGGGGTTTTCTGCACCTTGGAGCTGGTTACTACTATCCAGACCCAGAAGATCCCGTGAACTCTTCCTTCTATGAATACCTCGTCAGCATGGACCTGAAGGGAATGATGCTCAAGACCGTGGCTAATCAGGTATGCATTTTTCTACATCGTGCCATCCTGTTGAAAGCAAGGAGTTTTCAGGCGCTTGGGAAGTTTGTTTTGAGCGACGTGGAAAGCAATCGAGAACACGCGGCAAAACTCGCTGAGCGGCATTTTTGAAGGAATTTTTGTCAAGTGCATGCAACAATACGTGTGTTTTCTCAGGTCAATTAGTTGGAATAAAAATATGAACAACACAAGCTGAGTAGTTCCCATGACAAAACATTCCGAGCACGAACAGGGCAACTTGCGGAAGATGTTATGAGTTTTACAGAAATATGTCGTCATCAAGCCATGGTTTATGATCGTATCTCACAGCTTGCGGACTAGACCACAGAGAAGAGGATTCCCATGATTTGTTATGATAGTTCCTCACATTGGCTCGTCTACACTTTAATCTCTTCGTTCGTGGCTACATGAATCATGGTTCATAGTCTATCATGAAGAAACAGAAGAGTATCCACGAATCAGTGACAGCTTAATATACGCTATTGCACACTCGGGATTGTAAAAAGTATTTAATCGTAAGGAGTAGATGAGACATGCTGCCAACATTCCTATAAACTAATCACTAAAATGAGTCGTTCGTTGTGCGTTTAAATGATCAATGACTCTATTTTCACATGACTGCATTCGGATGGGGGAAAAGGTCTACAGAGATCACTTACTTTTTGGAGATGGAGAACGACAGGCTATTCCATCAAGTAGCGATAAGATACAATCCTGTGCAGAGTGTGGCTTTGAGATCCTCTTTGTTTGTTTTTTTTTGCATTTTTGCACATCCTTGTGCGTATTAAATAAATAAATAAATGGAATGACTGAAGACTTCGGAAGAAATGTTTATTAAGAAAATCAAAGATTGAATCTCTGCCGGCGAAAAATGCTTTGGAATTTCGAACGCTCAATCCATTTTCTTACAATCAAGATGATTTCATGCTTTTGTCTCACAATTTTAAGAAATTTTTTTCCAAAAACATCGTCTTTTGTATCTTATGCGCTTTTCATAACATGCACGAAAGTTGATCATTCAAGAACTGATCGCGGAAAGTGTCCTCAGCAACAGGGGGGGGGGGATCTGGGGTTTTGGGGTGAATCTAATTCGAAGTAAAGCTAGACTTACACTATGAAGTTGAAGCGCTACCCTTTTTTTCTCTGGTCATACCATGGAACATATCCCAAAATCACGAAATTCCTCTTAAGACAGTAGACAAATAAAATAAGGAAATCAAACATAACCCCTGAATGGCAACATCAGGATGGACTAGACATGTAAATACGTAATGAGTGCGTCACGTGTGTATGTCCTGATCTTCAAAAGAAAAATCCTTTTCAACCATATAACCAAATAGTTGCAGAAGAATCCCGATAGGGCTCTTATCACCCGTAAACAGTAGAACGCACTCCCAATCAATCTGTCGCCCCAAAGCGATGACGAAACGATTGTATGGAAGTCAAATCTGAATCTCCAACACAAGAATAAGGCAAGAAAACGCAGGAGAAGGCGTTGCAGTGAATTTTATGTGCTTGGAAAACGCAGGGCATCTCGTCAATATCATATACCTGATTCTCGTCAGCACTCTCATACATACTGGATCCATTTGCATGCCGCAGCCCGTAACCGGGTCAGGGTTTCGAAAGTCAGTTTGAAAGTCTAAAAATTTTCTGAAGTGTTGAAATTTTGACAGGTATATTATGTTGTCTTCTGTCTGTAGAGCTCAAACGTTGTGTGATGGTAGTTTTCTAATATGGAGCTCCGTACAAGTAAAACGTATATTTTTTGTATTTCACACTAATTGCAAATGCGACTTCGTTCCTGTCAGTATGTGATAAAATCGCCACTTTGTGGTTCTCTACATTCTCTGTCCCTGTCCCCTACTACATGCCGGCAACATTTGGGCGTACAAAATGGTCATGCACTCAGGGCTTAGGAACGTGCATCTATAGTGCTGGTCATAGCTATAAATCACTCTAAAAACCATTGTAATTTGCTCTCTCTTGTTCGAAATCGTCTGGAAAACCAGTATTCTGTGTGCAAACTGTCGCCATATCATTGACCAGGACAGCTTCCAATTTCACTGATTTTGGGCCGAGAAAAATGAAAAATTTGAAAAAAGGGGTTCCTAAGGCTGGTCACAGCTATGAAGCCACCTCTCATTTCTAATCACCACCACGTTTTTCAAACCTGGAATTTTTTGTACATATACAACATTAAAATATAAAACACTAGCTGATGACCCGGTCTCGCCCGAGACTTTTAGTTCAACCAAGATGGGGTAGGGGAACGAAATCCGCCAGTTTGAAACATCTCCGCGGACTACTGGTCCTGCAACCACAAACAACAATATTTCAAAAGGACCAGTTGCCAGCAAAGGCGGGCTCAAACTGGCGGAGTTCGTTCCCCTACCCACCAAAATGCCATCGGCTCGCAGATTCGTGTAGAGGAGGGTTGCGCACTTCCTTGATTTTCAGGACAAACTTGTTAAACCTCCACGTTAGCACTGTATTTCGTACTTTTTCGTTGAGCTTTCCTCAAAACCAGTAAAGTCCGCAGCCCGCCTCCACACGAATCTGGAAGCTGATCATACTTACACTTTCTAACTTCTACAATGCGCAAAAACGATTCAAGACGAACCCGCTGCATCCTGTCGACCTTGAGATCAGAATGAACTTTACTACCCCTACTTACATGTTTTTGGAAAATGATTGGTTGGAGCACGTCTAACTTTCATTTTCCCAGATTTAAGTAAATAAATCAATAAATCAATGGAAGGACCCTGCGAATCGCCTTAAAAAGTAGCCAAAAACCACCGCCGGGGTCGAAAACATATGTGTGCGAAGTTTCAGCTCAATCGGTTCAATGGCTGGCGTTTCTATAACGAACGAACAACTGAACGAACATCCTCACAGACATTGAGTTATATATATATATATATATATATATATATATATATATATATATATATATATATATATATATATATATATATATATATATATATATATATATATATATATATATATATAGATTTATCACACATGGAAGCAGTCGCCTTCTTAAAAAGAAGATTCATCCTGCATTTTTTGCTAAAATGTTTCAAAAGTTATAGCGTTTGGAAAAACTGCCTTTTCTCCAAATTCTCAAGCATTTGCTTCTTTCGAATGAAGGTCCTAGGCTTCGCCGAGCCTTTGCAATGAGTATGGTGAAAAGCGCTTGAAACATGGCGTAGTTGCTGATAGTGATAAACAAGCCTCATCTTACCGAGGTGTAAGCACGCTTCTGAGACGAACTCGATTTCTGACGCGCGAAAGTTTTCGGTTGGAAGTTGACACCTTGCTTGTATGGTGACTACTCATGCACAGAAGGTGTCAGACTTTTTACGAAGACATATTTGCAGCAGTGAACTTAGGACGCTTTGTCTGCAGTTCGATTGCGCGCATTGTATCTCACATGACTTCAAATTTTATTGCTTTGAACTCCTCTTCAAGTCAAATCTTACAAAACTGCAGGAATACTAGAATTTTGAAGTTTTGAGCGGTTTTCCGCTCGATCGAGAGGTCAGAGTGTGTCATGATCAGGCAGAGTGCACCACCCATTTGTGGAAAAAAGGCGTCCAAGGCAGAACCAAAATCTTGAGAGTTGCGATGACGTTCAAGCTATGCGCACGAGTCTATCGTTGTACAGGCGACGTGCTGTGCACGTGACAGAGCTTTTCGGGCATTAGAACTCAATTTTTGCGGTTTGAAAACTCTTCTACCTGGAGGTGATGTTGAGGCTAGTTTATCAATATAAGCGACTACGCCAGGTTGATTCCTGCGCTTTTCACCACATTCATTGCAAAAGCTCGGCGAAGCCTAGGACCTTCATCGAGTTAAACAAATGCTTGAGAATTCGGTGAAGAGGCAGTTTTCCCAAACATTATAGCATAAATCTTCTTTCATCATTTGATTACGTGCGGTCATCCTGAGCGGCCGATACTCTATTGATTCCCTGAAATGCCAGCCACTATCCCAGCTACCGAAAAAAGTAAAGCCCTCATCCCCGGTTGTTCCCTGTGCCACCCCCTAATGGATGACGATGCCGTGAAACTTCTGAATCAGATTCACGGCATAATCAGTCAAAGGCCCCGGAAGCTGTGCCTCTCCTCGAAAAGTTCGTAGGTAAGTTTCCTTCTTTATCGTCCAAGTTTCTTGAAGCTGAAAAACGAGAGAGGTCAGTAATATTCTATGGTATTCCTGAACGCGATTCTCATCTTCCTGTTCACGTCAAGAACACACTGAAAAATTCGTTTTTGGTGTTCTCAAATTTTTGGATATCGAGTGTCGTCCTTCAGAAATCTATAGGATGGGAAAACCTGGTGCGGATAAATCAAGGTTGGTTAAGTATACTTTTCCAAGTCGCTTTTTTTGTCGTGATTTGCTTGCAAAATCTTCTCGTCTCAGAAACAACATGACCTACAGCAAAGTTTTTGCGCGTAAATCAGTGACTCTCGAGGAAAGGCTTCGCGAAAAAGAAGGCTTCGCGCCACAGTTCGTGATCTCAACTCCAAAGAAGGTAAGCGAACTTATGTACTTTATAAAAGTGAAATTGTAAAAGCAGCAGATCTTTCTTCTCGTGCCAATGCTTCAAAAAACTGAAGAACTCGGTTAGCAAGAGAGGTTTTTTGCTTAACGCTAGAAGTTCATTAAATAAGCTTACACAGCTCCAACACCTTCTTTCCGAATCGAAGCCGGCGATTGTATTGATTACAGAGTCATGGTTGACTTCAAATGTTGCTGATGGCGAGATCTGTGGAGATTTGCCTTACATAATCTATATATATATAAAACTCAAAAATTGTCAGTTTGGAGGGTATGTGCGTTATAGAAACGCGCGCCGCTCAACCGATTCAGCTGAAACTTTGCACACACATGTTTTCGACCCTTGCGCAAATGATAGGCTACTTTTTGTGGCGATTCGTTGAGTCCTTCTATCGATTTATTGATTTGTTTACATTTTCCTAAGGAATTGAAAGTTTATCATGTTCAATCAAGCATTTTTCATACTCATGTAAAGGAGGGCGGTGAAGCTCATTTTCACCTCAGGATCACGAGGATGCGGTTTCCAAGCGGATGTCCCAGGGTAAGTCACCCATACCATATGGGGCGGGGGTGGGGGGGGGGGGGGGCTCGCAGTGCGGTG